CATTTTATTCTGAATTCCACGCCACATTCTAGCAAGATCTTGAAACCTTTTTTGCCTGTATGGCAATGGTTAAGATCAGCAGCCTTTAGTCTGGATGCACTCTGAACTCCATGGGACCTCAGAAAAATTCTTTGTACATCAGGTCCACCACCCTTTACAGCGCTTGAGCAACAACTGTGTTTCCTAATGTCTGAGGCATTTTCTTTTGACTTTTCCCAAGCTAACCATTCTACTTCTTCCAATGTTATTTTCATTTATCAGGGTCAGCTAGCTCAGCTTTTTTCTTTTAAACCTTTTTTGTGGTGGTGGTGGTGGAATCAGTACAGGGAGCCGCATTAAATTAACAGTGTTCACTACATAGCTCTTGTTTTCACGACACCTGTGATCTGTATTACCTTCATCTTAATGTAAGGTTTTTTCCAGTCCATAAATCTGGCAGGTTCTTTCTTGAGAGCTCATTTGGAAGCACAAAGAGTTTTGTGTTTTGACAATTTGGCACTTACACTTCTTTTCTTCTTCAACCTGAATATGCACTAAAATATTCATTTTAATCTATTTCGCATAATTGATGCTTCAGCAGTTTGTCCAGTGAATGAGCAATTTTATGCAAGAAATAAGCAAATGGGCTGAAAAGAGCCGGGTGAAAGAGAGATGATTGCTCCAGTCCAGGCAGTTTAACCAGCACAGTGAAGCATGCTGCTGAAAAGCTCCTTCTGTGTGAAAAGTTCAGTGCTCAGGGCGTTTAAAACAGACCCAGCCAGTCACTGCCATTAATCATCTCTAATGTTGAGAAAAAGATAATCCTTGTGACCCATATCACTGCAGTGATGAGCCAGCAGCTTCAGCTTTTTTTCTGCTTTCAGAGATGGAAAAACTGTAGATCTTGTTTCTGCAAACTCTCTTGGAGATTGGGAATCACCAACTTTTTCTCTTCTTTAAATTAAAGACTCCTCAGAAAAAAGCAGGATGCTCCCCTTTGTTATGGTTTGTGTTGGATGCTTGTTTTTCCAGCGGCACATCTGGTCACCAAGGGGGCAGGTTTAGGAATATGGGACTGGAACGCACGAAAACGCAAAGGACCTGACCTTGGATGCTTCTGCTTGTACGTCCCATTGCGCTGCCAACAGCGCGATGCCAGGCTGATGTGAGTGGGTCACCGCATACGTAAACAGTCTATAATAAAACATCTGTCATCTCAGAAACACAGTAAACTGAGCACTGCTGAATTGGGTGGTATTTAAAAATGTTAATTTAAAATTATGTAATCTTTCTCTTTTTGCTTCTTAATTTTTCACTATGTTGGATTTTTTTTCTCTCATGGCTTAATGCTATCTTGGCATCTTAGGCAGAAATGCCAGTTTAAGTGTGGGTTTGTCTTCATTATGTCTTCTTTTTCTTTTCCTGAATTTTGTAGGCATAATCTTGAACCTATCAAATTTGCTTGACCCAGTAGATATTATATACTTGTAACATGCAGCGCATGAAGGTTCAATCAAGGAAACACTGCCTTAATAGGTAGTGAATGAGTAAAATCTATAAACTGAATAAAGTTATTCTTGTTACATGTGGCAGTAGATGCATTTGCACTTTCTAATTAGTGGGAATATGTGGAGAAAACATAGTTAGTAGATCATGAGTCTTTAAGCCTTCCTGGTTTTTTGTGAATAGAAATGTTAGTGTAGAGAGACAAGACATCTACTCTCTTCCTTGGCTTCTCCAATTACTCACCTAGATAACTTTTATTAATAAAACCCCAGAAAAAGTGGAATTCCATGTGCTTTATCTCTTTCCTGCACCTCAGAATGATTAGAGCTACGAAGTTACAGGCAGAGGTTTGAAAACGTTAAAGATTACTGCAAGTGCTAAGGCTACATTCCTGAGATTTTGGTCATTAAATACTAGTAACTGTTGGGATTTTTTCTGGTTAAACATTTTATAGGAGCAAAGCTGGTGAAGCTGGCTGGCTCCCGTGCAGCCCAGAGACAGCATTAGTGAATGTCACCTGGAGATGGATCCGTCCTTTCCCTCTGGATAGTGTGTGCAGTTGGGTTTTTTGTTTTTGACAAGGTCACAAATTCCAATGCTCCCATCTCGCCATCCGCTGGGGCAGATGCTACAACGAAAACCTTGGGCGTAGACCTCGTCCCAGTAGCTTTCCCCTGTGCTCTCTGGAGCTGCTGGTATGATTCCTTCCCTTCCAGCAGACTGAGAAACATTTTTTCCGATGGCTGACAAAAGCAGGTCTGTTTTATACTTCTCACCACCATTTCCCATTATTTTGGTACCCAGCTTGGAAGGTTGACTCAAAGGCCTCTTCCTCCTGGGGTGGGCTGTACCACACTTCATGTAAGAAATAATTGCCTGTTATCCTTAAGTTCTGGTTTTTTGAGGGAGCTTTCCCCTTCAGTTGCGTTTTTGGCCCAATATATGGCTTTATAAATACTTGATGACTGATCTCTCCTGTTTTCTCCCTCTCTTCCTTTTTTGCACCTTAAAGGGTGCTTTGTATAATGCTCTGAACCCAAGAGCTCTGGTATTTTTAGAATATGTGGCAATCTCAGCTTCTCGAGGCAGGGATGATAACCAGCTGCCCGCCAGAATGGGTATGGATTTTCCTGGACTTTCAAAGGGATGATGGGGTGTGGTAACGTGTGCCACCGAACAGGGTTGAAGCGGTGAGTTAAAGTCATTTCGGCAGCCTGCGCGAGTGAACGGGGGCATCACTTCTCGGAGTCTTCAACGGCAAAGAAGGGAAACATCTGTTTGGGTCCAACTGTAACTTTACTGGCTTTAGTCTCTCCAATAACTGCGGGCTGAAAGATGTAAATTGTGTTACAAATATAGAGATTTTTCTTGATGATTTATACTCCAGCTGTAGAAAAAGGGGATTTGTTAAGGTTTGCGTGCGCGGCAGTGCTGCCGTGGCAGCGGCAGGAGGCAAGGCTGCGCCTTCGCTTCGCAAGGCGTGTCAGCAGACGCTGGTCCATGTGCTTTTTGATGTGTCTGAATTTCTTACGCTCTTCAGAATGCAAACAGTGACAGTTTTAGCATGAAATCCTGTCTCTAATGAAGTGAGGATTAATAGTACCGTTGAACTCATTAAGGAAGTTGCTTCTCCCTCCTTTGCATACAAGCTATGTTGCATGCAGAAATGCCTCTTCAAAGAGGGCTTTGCATACAGAGGTATAATGCCGTCCGTTGGTCATTATGGATGCACGTCTTTGGACATTCCGGTGTCTTTATTAGAAAACCAGCAACTTATCTGTTCCTGCTCCTGTATTTAGCTAAAGCCGAATGTGTGCCAGCACCGGCTCTTCATGCAGGAGTTGAGTCCAGCTGCAGACATCACCAGTGCTGGCTGCTTGGTACCTAGCAAGGAGTTTAAATAAGTAAATGTATTTTTAAAATCTGATGCTCAGCTGCAGGCTAGTTTGGGTGTCAGCTGGTTTTGACAACCAGTCACACTTATCTGCACCATTATTTTTTTTTTCTTTTCATTCTGCTGTTTTAGTGAAGGAAACAAGTTTGTGAGACTTATAGCCTTAGGTTTAACTAGGCAGCTCCCTAATGCAAGCGTCCCCCAGGACAGAATGATTTGTATTGATATGGTTAAATTGTATTGTAGTCCTTGTGTTTAAAAAAACACAAAAAGGCCAATTGCTCTGTCGATTGAGGTAAATCCTGTACTGATTTAAAATTTCAATGGAAATGGGAATGTATGTATGTAAAGCCCTGTCAGAGTACATTTTTTTTTCAATGTTGATGTGGTGGTTCCTTTTGTGATGAAATACAGAAGTGAAGGAACATTAGCCGGAGGAGGCTAGAGGGTGCAGCAGGCTATCATGGTCTTTGTGGGAGAAGAGGTAAACTTTTGGTAAACCTCATGGAGACTCAAAGGAGAGATTGTGCACCTGAAAGCATGTACTTTTTTTTTAAACTGGCTTCATCATACAAAACTAAAAAAATAAATACATTGACGTTAACACTGTGCTCAAAAGTAGACTGAGGCTCTGTATAGTCTTTCAAACACAAAATCTAGTTGGATCAAAGCATCTCCTGCAGTACCAACAGGCAAAAAGACCTGCTGTCGAGCACATCTGCCTGCTCCTCCAGACTTCTCTGTGACAAACACTGCTTCTTCAGCAAGCCATTTCCACGCTAATATCCAAAAGTATCCAAGAGTGACTGTGGCCCTAGTGAATCCAGGAAATAAATTTAATAATCTGTGCACGAGGCTTATCAAGTGAGAGCTGGCAGAAACGGCAGTAAGGTTTCCCTCCTGGGTCTGTCTCCATAAGTGGTAACACCTTGCCAGACCCCATCTGAGCCACCTTGTTTCCTCAAGAATCATTATGATGAGGTGGCACTGGCAACTCTTGACGTGCGTGGGGTCAAGGGACAAGGCATAAGGATAGGAGGGGCTGGCAAGTGGTACCGAAGGGCTGGGAGTGAGATGCAAGGTCAAAAGAAAGAGCAGAAGGATTGTCTAGAGAGATGGGAGTGTGAAGGAGGTGGTAGCCAGCTGCATTGCAGCTTCAGAGTCTGGCTTTGTCAAGGAGGTGCCTTACATCAGCAAAATTGAAGTATTGCCTGTTTTGTGAGATGGTGTTCAATAAAGGAAGATGATTCCTGTTGGCTTTCTTATCCTGCATTTCTTCAGCTTCCATACCAAGCTATCCTATATTCATAGTCTTGCTTGATCCTGCTAACATAGGCAAATCTATGTGTTTCCAGGCTTGTAATGTTGAAAATCCCACCTCCTCTGGAAATTGCCCTGTCTCCATACTGTAAGGCTTTTCTGACTGTGCATATATAACAGTTATTAATACTGTTTGTGCAATTTGACCATAAGTGGCTCTGGGCTGAGCAGTTATTGGATTTGCTAGCATAAATAGCAGTGCTTAATTGAGCCTAAATTATTTGTAGATGTGGAGCATGCTCACTTCCTCCACCTTTTACCATCTTCCCCAATTAACTTTCATTTCTCTGTTTTGTTGCAGAGCAAGGAAGTGGGATTGCAGCTCCAGGAAGACTTGATGAAGGTCTTGAATGAACTCTACACGGTAAATCAAACTGACTTCTTGGCATCTTTTCAGGCAGAAGGAAGAAGTGTTTGACTTCTCCCAGCCTGCTGTTCCAGCAGACTGAGCACCAAGACTGATGAATGCCTGCAGTCTTTGTAGTTTGAGGCAGCTTGTGTTCACCAGTCTACAGAGCACCATAAATCTTACTTTTTCACTCTATCCTTATATTGTTTCAGCTCTGTAAGTGTTGGCTGCACTTCTCAAATATCTCACCTTAATGCACACCTGCTACTAGCCGCAGTGTTGGTTTTAAAAAGAGTAGGAGATATTAGAATTATTTCCAAATACACTAAAAATGTTCAGTCTGTGGTTTTGTGTGGTCTGAGCATACAAAAGGCAGCATACAGCTTTAGCGGGGGGACCCAGTGTGTTTATTTGTTCCTCAACTCTTTCAGCAAAACAGTTCCCTTTAGAGTAATAGTCTTCCATCTGTGCTTTTTGCTTCTCAGTATATCCGTTGGAGACACCAAGAAAGAGGCACTGCCTTGGGAAGGGAAAGGAATGTGTTCATAAAAGTTCATAGGCTGCTTGGGGATTTTTCTTCTCACATAGATGAATGGAAAAGTCTGTTGTCTGATTAAATTTTTGCTTTCTGCAGCTGTTACTGTTCTCTTTTAAAAGCAGAACCTATACACAGTTTTGCTCAAAATGTCTTTTCTTTTGTCCTTCCTTAATGATACATGGGGTCGTTACACTGAGGTACATGTTCTTTCCTTCGTTCTTTCAAAAGATGATCCAGGGGTGTTTCTCAGGGTGTGGTATATCAACGCTATGATGAAATTTGGTATTAATATCAATGCGAGTATCAGGGGGAGTTCCCTGAAATTTCCCATATTAACAAAATGTATACAAGGGAATTGTTTCATTAGAGCATCAAAGCCAAATATTCAGACTGATCTTTTAGGAAAAAAGGGAGCTCAGGAGTAGGAAAAATGTTCTTGCTGCTGAAATGGCAGTTGAAGAGGTGAGACACTGAATCCAGCTTATGATTTTCCTCCTTTTCTGTGTTAGAGTGGTTAGCATCACTGAGTCTTTCTGTGCGCAGAGAGGGTCTGTGTTCCTCGACAGGAAAGCCAAGAGCAAGCAGTACGGTGGAAGCTGGAGGCACTTCGAAGCTGACCTGTGGTTTGATGTAGTGTCGCTGTAGTTAGCACAGCTTTGGTTTACAACAGTATGAGCAAACAGCACTGTGCTCATGTTGCTGAAAGGCAGACAATTTTCTTTGGGTATGAAAGTGGCTTTGTAAATGTAGCTGTGCCTGTCATCAGCGCTGCCTACTCTAGAAGGTATTTTCTACTTGAGGGCACAATCTGATTCAACTTTTGAGTCGTGTACTTGTATGGGATCCCAAGGAAGAATATAGATGTGTCTCTAAACACAGACTTTTAGGAACTGAGATTTATTTCTAATCCAAGTTCACACGGCACTGAAGTTGATAAGGTGGCTGGTTAGTGGAGTTTACATAGACATATGTAATCATTTCTGCGTGCCAGGCTCTGACAGATCACTGAGCCAAATACTGAGTCCTGATAATTTTGCTGTCACTGGAAGTAAGATCTTCCACAATTCAGCCTTTGATAAACAAAGCAATGTAGGGTATTAACTTTATAATGGCAGTGTTAGGAACTTGAAATCTATTTATTAATTCTTTCTGCTGTAAAACTTTAAATTGTCCCTTCACCAGAAAATTTCTTTTCCTTTGAAAAAGCCACTTCTGTTGATCGTATTAGGAGATACCTCTTGCTAGACTCAATTTAATCACTGGTGGGATTGCTTTTATTGGTACTTCTAGAAATACTTCCACCTCTTGTTCTGCTGGGTATCCAAAGGATTGGCAGAATCCCTATTTTCAGACAAAATGGATAGGGACCAAGTCTTTACAGATAAAACATCAAGGATTGTTATGACCTGTAAGTTTTTGTCCTGAATTGTCCTCTGCAGCCAGTCCTTGACGGTGCTGTTGCCCCCAGCAGGCACTAGTGAGCCAGCGGTGACCCCATCGCCAAACGTGGGGCGGGCAGAGCTTGTGGCTGCCAGTGTGGCACTGTCAGCAGGATAAAATCATTAAAATTATGATTTCTTTCTCTGCTTCTCTTGCTTTCTGCCAGTTCCACTTTCAGTGACAGAGGAAAAGAAACTATTTTGCATCTATTATTATAAATGCCTGCTTTATAGTCTAAGCATATGCAGGAGCTGAAAGTGTGTGTGTGAATTATTCAGAAAGTCTCTCTTTAATACTGGCTGCATTCACATTCTCTTTCATGTTTAAATACAACGTCTCTTTGTATCTGGGAACCTTTGCTGATCACTGCATAAAGAGAGAGCATGCGTCCTACTTACGTAAAATTATGTTGTGGTTCAAGCTAAGGTGAAATAGGTATTTATTTCAGCTGAAAATCCATTTATCAAATGGTTTGGAAGTGGTGTCTTTATTAATGCTGGAATGACACTATTAGGGTGTCATTATGCAACTGCATTTTTTGGCCCCTGTATTATATCATAATAATGTTTGCTTTGTGTGAATTGAATTGCTATGCATTTGTGGATAAAAAAAGCTAGTTTATATATTATGTCCTTTGTTTTTTTGGTTCTGTTTTCTGAACACAAAGCTGACATGAATATCCTGTGAAACAAATAGGGGTTTTTTTGTGACTCTGGGGGATATTTATCTGTACTTACTTATAAAAAGATTGTCCATATAGTACAGGGTAAGATTGTCCATATAGTACAGGGTCCAGGTCTCCCTAAGCAAAAGAACCACACTCTTTTATTAATATTTTTGTTACATAAGTTGAACAGAAGTACTTACATATCAAATTTGATTTAAACAAATCGAAACTGAGTTGCTTTTGCAGCCATTGTGTTCAGGCTATTGATTTGCATACAGGTCCTCAAGACTTGTGATGTTTAAAGGACTGATTCATCCAGATGAAAGACTGATAGGCATTCCTTCTGAAGCCTTACCTGCTGATGAAAAGCTATCATTTTCTAACGTTGGCATATAATTTTCTTTGAATAGTAAGTAGGCTGGATTTAGTCTGTATCTTCTTTTGGTTTTTATGGCTCCTTTATTGGATTGTACAAGGAGGCCCATGCCAAAGTTAAACAAAGAAGCAGCTGCAAAATAATCCACTTTGATTTCAAATTCATTTTGAGAGCCACGCTTTCATTCGTGCATCTTCTGTCGTGCTTTTTTGAAATGTGAAATTTCCCTGAGTGTTTTGCCAGGGATATTGCCATTAGATATTTTTAACTAGCAACCAGATCTAACTTGCTCATCACTGTCCAAATGCCTTTGCTTAGTATGATATTTTGCATTTAATATAAACATGATGGACAGCTGTTATGAAATAGTTATGTTAAAGAAACTTACAGTTTTGGGAGTGCATTGGGCAAATGGAAAAAAAAAAGAAATGTCACAGCATGTGACTTCTTTCTTAGGATTTTCTCCTCCTTCCTAGCCTGTGAGCTTTCCAGACACATGTATTACTGTCTTCCCTAAGGCTTGGTCATGCAGGTAAAGTAAGGCAAGACATCTGTATGCCTAGTTTCTTGGTTAGGTAAACCCATTTCTTCAGCGAATTGCACTGTGGTGCTCTCTGACTCTTGTGTATCATTTTCTGCAGGTTATGAAAACCTACCATATGTACAATGCTGACAGCATTAGTGCTCAGAGCAAGCTGAAGGAAGCAGAGAAGCAGGAAGAAAAGCAGATTGGGAAGTCAGTGAAACAAGAGGACAAGCAGACACCACGCTCCCCTGACTCAACTTCCAATGTCAAGTTTGAAGAAAAACATGTTCGACGGAGCTCTGTGAAAAAAATAGAGAAAATGAAGGAGAAGGTACTTCCATGGCATTGCTACTGCTTGTGCAGAGTGCTTGAGAAGGGGACCTTTGCAGTAGTTCAGCACAGGAGCTACAGCATTCCCTCCTTTGTGACATTCAGTTGCAAGCCTCAGTTTTTGTACAAGTTTTAAACATTCAGATTTAGAAAAGGCAAAAGCTAGCACCAGGGTTTTTTTAGGACAACCAGATATGCATTTTGTATTATCCCAGGTTATACAGGCATGGCACAAAAAGCTAAAACGAGGTTAGGGCATCAAAGTAACAACTGCCTTCTTGGAAGTCATGGTTAATGTTTTTTTTCTTGTGCAGATTTTTGTTTACCGTTTCAAGTCAGGTTAAGATCTGACCGGCGCTACAGGGAGACATGCAATCCCAAACTGACTTCATGGGCAAAACCCATTGCCTTAGCAATCGGTCTGTCAGCTAAGTAGTTCAGCACTAAGATTCAAGCTGATAGAAGGTGAAGAGCTATTTTTTAATTGACTTAGTCTCTGAAAAGACCAAGTTTAGGCCTAGCTTCTGTTGGAAGAGGTGGGGTGCCTGCAGCAGCCCTCAGAGTACCCGTGGGCTTCTAGCAGCTGCTCTGGTAGTGCTGGAGCTGTGCCATAACCTCATAGACCCACCTTGTTCCTTCATCCTTCTCTTCATCTTCCCCAACCCACAGTCTGTTTTAAGAGAAGACTTTATATGCAAAGCTGTCTTGTATAGTAATGCTTGAAAGCATCTAAATAATTAATCCAAATTCTAAGTCTTTGAGTCTTGATAAAACTGGAATCCAAATGAACAAAAACTGTGTGAGCAGAGTGAGATTTGTTTGGTATTCTCTGGTGTTACTGAGAATGCTAATGCTCCTGCTATACATCTTTTTGAAATATATTCTGGTTTTGGTTCTCTTTTAGCGCCAAGCGAAGTACACAGAAAATAGACTGAAGGCTATTAAGGCAAGAAACGAGTATCTGCTAGCTCTGGAAGCCACCAATGCATCTGTATTCAAGTATTACATTCACGACCTGTCTGATCTCATTGATGTAAGTGCTGCTGCTTGGGTGCCTGCAATGAATATCATTGCCATTAACCCTCACGTGTGCCTCTCCTTCCTCAATATCTTAGTTACCAGTTGTGCTGGTATATTCTGTACAGCTGTGGAATGATGGTCTTGGATGGGCAGCTTAGAGGGTAACAACAGGCATGATAATTGGTCATTTAGCTGTTAAGTGAGCTTTTCTTAGATGGCTAACTCAGAGTTTGTTGCAAAGGTAAAAGCTTGCACAAGAAACCTGGCATTGAAATGTGTAGAAGGAGGAGTTGCTTAGTTAAAATGAAACTCAGCTTCAGTATCACACTGTTGCTTGACATTTTCTATTTACTATTTTAAGTAAACCTGCAAGATTATAACTCAGAAGCACATTTAAAAAAAGAATGTTAGCTGTAGAAACAGTATACCAGTTGGTAAAAGAAATTGAGGACAGAAGCATTTTCTAAAGCTGCTTTTAACTTCGTTTGAAAAATTCCATATATCTTAAGGTTAATACTTGCTGTAGCATATTGCACAAGAGGGATGAACCTCCCTGCTTTTTAGACCTTCCATTCCCCGATACCCTGACCCACCAGCTCTGCAGTAAATTGGTGCATTTCTTCCGTCATTGGGACTGCAGAGCACTTCCAATCCAGCTCTGAAAGGTGTCGGAGGAGTCTCAACAATGATGGAGGTTCCACTGTTTGCCACCCCACAGCCTCTCTGACTATGCTACACAAAGAAATGAAGAAATAAACTGAATGTAGAAACCAGTCCCCCCTTTTCTTAGAATACTCTCTGCAGAAACTGGGTAATGGAGCAGGAGGTGGAGGCAGCTTGTTCCCCAGCTGCCTGCAAGCCCTCTGTTCTGCAGCTGAATGATGCCCCCAGTATTCAGGGGGCATCAATTCTACTTTTAGTAAAATGCACAACAACAACAACCAAAAAAAAAAAATCTCTCCTCTTTGAAAACTCAGAAAAGCCAGTTAGGAATCCCGAGATTTTTCACAAATACGTGACTGCCCACTTCAGCCTGCAGAACTAGAGTACCAATGCGCTGAACATGTTGTGTCTGGGTCGCTGACGGTTGCTTGATCTTATTCTGCTTGCCAAGGACAGCCCGCTGCCATCACTGTTAGAAACACTCAACTGCAAAGCCTGAAGGGAACTTTCTTTGTAGGAGAGGAAAGTAATGAACAGAAGTGTCTCTAGACATAGGCAATAAAGAGCACTCAGATCACTATTAATTAGTTGGCTATTATAATACCTAACAGTATATATAATACATCTATTCAGCTGATCATAAAATCACATGAAGTGCACTTCTGCTAGGTATTTATTTAAACCTGTCCTTTGGAGGTCAGGATTTTCAGTGCTAGATGGCTTTGAAAAATACTGTTATTTCAAAATGTCGTTTTGCAAAATTGCTGTGCTGAAGAGACGGGTTTCATTTATACCTGCTGCCTGTTTAGGAGACTTTTTTTGGTTAACATTTGCTCAACTGAAATGGTGCTGTCTTGTTTTTTAACAAATAATAACTACCTCTATAGCATTGGGGTTTTTTATATTAACACATACAAGATAGGGATTCATGTCACTGACATCAGTGGAATTCAATTGTCTTAATTTTTTTAATCCTATCCATAATTCCTCTCCCATACTGCAGATGTGCTTGGTTCCGTTGTCTGTCATCAGACTGTTCTCAGTATGTTTTCAGGAGTCATATTTAGTAAAGAATTCATTTGGATTTCATAAATCCATAGCAATTTTTAAGCACGGACTTGAGATCTTTTAGATTGTGCGTTGACAAACACGGGTTACCCAGCTTTGAAGGATAGTCTCGGCCGTGCCTGGGGCGCGGTGGGCAGCGGTGCAAGACAAGAAGCCAGGCTTCCGCAGTGCGTGGATTTGTCGCTGGTCCTAGAGAGGAGCCAGCGTGACCCTGGGTGAGGCCATGCCCGTGTTAACTCCCTTGTGTTCCTTGAAGCATTCAGTTTAACACGACATTGTAAGTTCTCATAATCTTTAAAAGAAAAGTATTTTCTGCTCTCTTTTCAGAAGGCATGGAAAAATGTGGGACTTGCCTGGGAGCACAGCAGATGGAATTCGGTTATCTCGTTGTGAGGATGCGGGGAGTATAGATTTACTAATGCCTTTGATCCCAAAGGATCGAAAATTAACAATTATAAGCAGTGATGGTTATCTGAAGCATCTGACTTATAAATGTGATTTTTAAGCCAGGTCTTAATTCTTTTCCTTGATCTAATCGTTTGATGATATTGAATTTTGAAATATAATATAAAAGCAATCTTCAAAGTTACTTACAAGTAGATTGTGTTAGGCCAAATACAGTTAAACTTGTCATGTTTATACAACACATTGTGTTCCCCCTCCAATGTGCACGGAAGGATAACAGTGAGTTAATTCTTCATTGTGAGTTAAGAGCAATAAATTGTTCCTGACATAGCCCAGTAGTTTTGAATTTCCTGGCTTTGGGGACTGAGGCAGCGCTTTGATGCTAATGAAATATTACAGTAATGGGAAAGTTTGTATTAACTCATACTTATGAAAGGGTCACTAGGACAGAATTTAAAAAAAGATGAAAATGTGTGTGTATGTGAGAGTCTTAAAGCTTACTTTACACTTCTAGGAATAGGTGGGAATACTCTTCTAGGAGTAGGAATACTATTGCTGTTTACTCCAGGATCTCATACTTTCCCTTCCAAATGTAAATTGCATTTTAAGACAGAGGGCTTGTTCTCCTTACATCTTCTATTTTAGGCCTGTTTGAAAACTGCGAACTGGCAAAGGGTTAATCAGCTGTCACGTTGGGAAGTGAATTTGAATGAGTTATCATTAAATTCTTATAAAAAATTGATTTCCTTGGAGAACGGTTCCATCAAACATTTATATAACCCAGAAAAGGGATGGCAAGACTGATACATTTATAAATATGGTATGCCGGACTTTTAAAAATGTTGAAGTGGAGGAGTGGGCTGAAAAATGTTTTCTGTCACTGGCTTCAGTAACATTAAGCAAAAAAACTTTGTCGTCTTAATGTAGTCCTGCAGTTCAGCGAGGTGGGGTGTAAAATACAAAGTCCCATTTGACTTTCCAGTCCCACCAGCGAACTCCCCTCGCGCAGCAGAGCAGCTTTCCCGGGCGCGGACGCGTGCTGGAGGAGGGCGAGCGCAGGGAGGACAAGCTGGTCTCCCTGGGTGGGTGTGCAACTGTCTGGCCCACAGTAGGAGGGGAAAAGGAGCGACTGCTGATCTGAGCTGATCCTAATCCTGGCTGGACTGTTGGCCCAACTTAGACTAGCCCTCCCCAAATTACTGCAGAGGATGGCACTGTGACGTGCGTGCAGCAGAGCAGGAGCTGCGAGTGGCTGTCCATCCAAGACTCCCTCCGCACGTGCAAATTCTCAATCAAGCGTCTTTTGGTTTTTGTTGGTTTTTTGGCTAGGTTTTGTTCTTTCTCACTGAATGTAATGTCCTTTAATTCCCTGCCTCCAGCCTAACCAGCAACTGCAGCTCTTTTTACAAGACTCCACACCTGCCACAGCCTGTTGGCACAGGAGCCAGGCATCTAGCAGCACTTGGAGACAGAGACTGTGTGTAAGCAGGGAATGGTCCAGTAGTTGCTCTCTCTTCTCTCTCTCTCCACCCCTCCTCCCCCCGCTCTTTTTTTTTTGGTGTTTGCACACAAAGACAGTGATGAGACCCAAATGGTGGGTGAGGAGGAGATTTCATGTGAATTTTGCTTACAGAGCAGCACAGCAATCAAGCAGATGGTCTCTTTTTGGATATTCTCCTAGCGTATGTAATCTTGCTTGTAATTCCAAGAAGGTGGGTTCCTTTCTCACTCACTTTACTAGATGTCTGAAAAATCCAGGCTGTTTCTGATCAGCTAATGAAAAGTGTCTTTCTCCCTTCTGAAGCATTAAGACTTGGCTGCTCAGCCGGTGTGGAGCTGAAGCTGCTTTCAGTGACATCATCCTGGTGTGTCAGTAATAGCCAGGAAATTCTTGACCATGACCACTTTCTGCTTGAAAGTTTTTGCTCTTCTGTTTCACCCCAGCAATGAAGTCATCCCAACTGATCGCTGCTTGCTTTTTGGATGACTCTGCCCTTTATGCCTGTTATGCACAGGTCATGTTCGTGCTTCTTGAAGTTCACTGAATTAAGCAGCTTTCTGTATCTTGGGTGGAATAATTTAGATGCAGGTTAACCTTTGCAGATGATCCAAATCCTGTGTCTTGTTTCTCCAGATAGTACTCTAGTGCATTGTTTTCCTCTTACTTTGAATACTTTTATTTAAGGATTTTGGCATGTTTTCAGTGGGAATCTGCATCCCTGAAAGTAAGGTTATAATCTGAAGAAATATACTGAACATGCCCACTTCTGTGTTACTTTTCGTTTTTTTAACGGCATGAAATGAACCCTCTAGTACTCCATGAGAACTCCACAGTGTGTTACAATAGTTGAAGCTGTACTTTTCTCGGATACTAATTATAACATGATGTTGAAATTTGTATGGAACTAGAGGTTGAGAATTCTGTTCAGGGCCAACTCGGAGGACCCCTAGTCAAGGTGCCTCTGCAATCCGTGGGAGATGTGAGACCGCTGTGGTACCCAGAAGATGGTAAAATATCCACAACTTGTTATCCATTTATGTAACTTCTGACTTTGGAAACATTTTCATTTCCATTACAGAATTTCTTCACTTATTCATATGGAATTGTGTCTCTTCTTCCAGCAGTGTTGTGACCTGGGATACCATGCTAGCCTCAACAGAGCTCTCAGGACATTCTTGTCTGCTGAGCTAAACCTGGAGCAGTCAAAGCATGAGGGTCTGGATGCCATTGAAAACGCCGTTGAGAACCTGGATGCCAACAGTGATAAGCAGCGCCTGATGGAGATGTACAACAATGTCTTCTGTCCGCCGATGAAGTTCGAGTTTCAGCCGCATATGGGTGATATGGTCAGTTTATATTCCTCCTCCGGCTCTAGCTCTGTAAATGCTGGCAGCTTCGCCTGTTTGCTGCCCTCGTCTCTGACAGACAGACCCAGAGCCACCTGTTTGGCTCTATTTTTGGGAGGTAGAGGGGGAGCCTTAGAAAAGGGAGCTGATATGAAGATTAAGCAGTGGCTCCTGGCATGGATGTCTGAATATGTCCGACTCTCACTTTTCTGACTATCAAAGCTACTGAAGATGAAAATGCTTAATTAGGTATAATACTAAATGTGTACAGGAAACGCTGTTTTAACCTCTCGTTCAAGCCACAGGCTGACCCCTGCAGCCTGCGACAGACTCTGAAGTTAGAGATTAGGAGGGGCAACAAGATAAGAGACTTAAATGCTGTTTTTTTGAGGTATTTGAGTGTGTAATCTTAGAGCACAAATGGTTTAGCGGTGCTTTATGCGTCTTCATTGTGAGACAAGGCAGTCAGTGCACTTTCATTTTTGGCAACGGAAATCTCTCTTTTTATAGGTTTATCAAGATGTGGTTACTCATCTGGGAACTGTTTAAAGTTGCACAAGCTGAAACCGGTTCACAAATCTAAATGGGAACACATGTACAATGTAATAATTTAGGTCAATTGGTTGGATTTCCAGATTATCCTCCTGAACACTTGAGGAAAAACTGTAAGGATGGTCTCTTGCAGCCAGCCTCTTCTTACATTTGGTGGTTAAGGCTCTTCTTTGTCTCTTCCCTTTTAAGTGAAACCTTCAGACTGCAAATGACGTTTCTCGGTTTTTCTGTGCATTGGTCGTATCCTGTAAGATTGTGGGAAGAAAAAGAATTACTTGCGGACTGTCATTCAGTTAACAGCTCACATTCGCAGAATCATTTATCTTGGTTCTTCTCAAGGCCGAATGAGTGTTTATAAACGCATGCCGATAGTCTTGTTGCAATGGTCCTGCATCTACCAGATTGAATGTATGATGGTATATGTGCATGTGTGTGATAAAACTCCAATTCCAATTTCTATCTTTAAAAAATAGCCTTATGCAATGAGGTCAACATTTTCCTTTTTGAAAAAAACACCACCAACAAAACAAAACTAAAAGGAAAAGCTGCTTCGTGCTGTGAAATAAGACTAATTCTTAACAGTACAGAGGAGCCCACTGGAAGCCCACAGGTCCCTCACCTCTTCTTTTTTTTATTTCAACTCCACTGAATTCCTTAAATAGTGAATCATACCTGTTGCTGTAGTGTACAGGTAGTCTTCAGCGGAGCAAGCTAAGCCACTCATACCCCTGCCCCAGGGTGCCTAGCTAATACATTGAACCAAATTTTTCTTGATGTGCGGCATGATTTAACCTAATACTGTGATAAAACACCTTCAGACTTTCAAAACACATGACAAGCTTACATTACTGAAAATAGCTAATTTTTGTAGTTCTTCGATGTTCACGTTCTCTCTCTTGCTCACCTTTTCAATACAGTCAGGAAGGAGACTCCCAATTTGGTAGAACAGAGACCTTTTCTGCTGGTTGAAATCCAGGGCTACAAAGTTTTAAAATGAGGCACTTTGGAGGATGTTTGCTTATCATAATTGAATGAAATAATTGCAGTGTTCTTGATTTTGTGTTTTTTTCCCTAGCGGTCTAAAAGCAGCGCTGTTTTTCTTCCAGGAGTCGCAACTGTGTGCCCAACAACCAGTCCAGAGTGAGTTAGTGCAGAGGTGCCAACAACTGCAGTCTAGATTATCTACGCTTAAGATTGAAAATGAAGAGGTGAGCTAATCAACCAAAAATCAACAAACCTCTTACTACGTCCAGTGGGGAATGGGGATTAATTAAGGAAGAATCTAGTTGCTGTGATTCTCTTTTGTGAAGACTCGTGGTAAAATTCAAGAATAAGGCAGCTGAGGCCAGCAGTGCATTAGTGTGTGATCTTGCGTGAAAGCTGAGTGCGTGGAGAGGATCCTTTAAAACACCTGCACGTATCTCTCTTCCCATCCTTAAGTTCATAGGACTGGCTATGTTGCAAAAGTTGTGTTTAGATAGCTAAGAGAAAAAGAGGAATTTAATGTTTTGAAGTGAAGACAGTGAAGTTGCGTAACTGAAGGTAAGAGCTAATTTTTGTTTAATTGGTCATCTAAGATGAGAAGACTAGATCAACAGCATTTGTTTGGGAACAGGTCAAAATACCTAATCTGCACCTCTGTGTTCAAGAATTTTTAATCCTTCTTGGGCAAAATTTCCAACTACTTTATGTCTAGGAAGTTGATTCTGGCCTTCAGTAAAAGTTTACAGTTCTGCAGAGTCTTCTTTTTAATACCTAACATTTGATGCCCAGTAGATTTAGTTACAGAAAACAAAGATCTGTGTTCCAGCATTCTTTGCTTTGAGGTTAAATTTCCTTACATCTCCTCCTCATCCCAGCCTGTAAGATTACAACTGTTTTGCTACTTCTGGCAGGTTCTGTGTGCTGCCAGCCCTGTGTTTATGGGCACTGTGCTGTCAATGAGCAAAACTTGCACCTTAGTTATGGCACACAGGATGAGAAACCAGTAATAGCTGTTTATTAGTAAAATGCTCCAGGGTACTTACTACCTCTGGTTTTTACTTGCAACGTACTATCTTCATTTTTTAAGTACTCTCATTCTTGCTGGACAGGTTAAGAAGACTATGGAAGCTACACTTCAGACAATCCAGGATATAGTCACGATAGAGGACTTTGATGTCTCTGACTGCTTTCAGTACAGCAACTCTATGGAGTCTGTTAAATCCACTGTCTCGGAAACGTTCATGAGCAAACCCAGCATTGCCAAGAGACGGGCCAACCAGCAGGAGACAGAGCAGTTCTATTTCACAGTAAGGAGTTAATTTTCAGTATGAGCACGTATAATGTATTTAGAATTACACTCACAAGAGAGTGCAAGATGATGCTATCATCTTAAAAAAATGCTTCTGTAATTGATTTCGGGCAAGCAGAGTAAACGTATTAGGTTTTAAAAATGGGTGCTTTGCATTCTTTACAAATATATTGGGATACCTTTGTCACTGCAATCTTAGTCTGTGGACAAAACTCTGTAAAATTTGGTTTCTTCTGCATCTAAAAAGGAATTGTCTGAGATAGAACTTAATAGCTTGTAAATACCAATTTTCAAAGATAATACAAACAGAAATAACATTTAGCTCTTTCGTTTTTTGTTACTATCATCTTACAGTTTCAGCTCACATAAGCTTTTAATTGAGTTGATGCATTTTTACAAGATGCTAAGAGCTTTTTGTATTGAATTTCATACCAGACTATATGTTTTTTTCCTAAATTAGATTTATGTTAAACTGTTGAATTTGTTTCCATTTTAAAAATATTTCAAAACAGCAGATGAAAATCATACCTCTTATCCTCTTTACTTAGTCATTCCTTTGGGCATCTTTTGCTATACTTAATGCCCTTTACATTCCTCTTCCAAGAATGGTGTTGCTTATTCAAAGTCTGAAGTTTCTGTGCAAATCACACTAGCTGGCAGGATGGTTTCTGTCAGGCCTTGACTTAGAAAAGTTAAAAAGACTTCATAGAAGGTGAAACTGGGTATTGAGAAAAGTGGGTGGAGAAAATGATTCAATTAAGAAGGGATTGACCACCCTGCCCAGGGTTATGAAACTCGAAAAGTGATTTTTCATTGAGCTCTAAGCGTTCCCTCTCTAGAGAGGGACTATTGTAAGCTCAAATAGGAGAGCGAGCCCAGGACTTTATTTGGATGTAATCTTTTTCCGTTTCGTTGTGGTAGTATGCTGCTGCAGAGCAGTGAGGTCCCACCAGGACGGCGGAGCCGTCTCAGTAAGCAGAGGTGTGATCCATCACGTCCCACACAACGTGGGTAAAATAACTATCAACAGAACGAAGCTGTTCATGGAGGCCCTCTTTAACCAGCCCAGTCAGAGGCTTGATTGATCTACTATTGACTGGACTCCTAAGTATCCTTTATACGGATTTTAAGCTTTGAATCTACAAGGAGCAGTTTTTTCCATGTATGAGAAAATGCTCAGATGAGTATTGATGTGACTGAGGGCAGAGCTATGGGCGAGGCATTCTTTGTGTAGAGGGGAAAAACCAAAGTATAGTGCAGGATAGAGATTTAAATCCCCTCATACCTTATGATGTGCTAAATGCTGAGGGATATGAACTGAAAGATACTAATTTGAAAGAATATTCCGTATTACTACATAATTCAAGTTGGAAATTCCACGTACTGCATGGCTAGCTAGGCACGGCTCTGAAGTAGATGTAGTTATGCCACCATGGGAATTTAATTGAAGGAGTGCTGCCTGTAGTACCTCCACAGTGGTATAAGCTGTATTTCCACTAGAGGCATATCACTGCACGCTCTGTTGTTACGGCTTTGAAGGAAGGTTTGTATTCAGAACAGAAGCTTCAGCTTCCCCGTGTCGGCGAAAAGCACAGGCGGGACGATTGCCTTAGCGCTGCCCGATGCCGGTAGCGGACGCGAGGGCGCAGCAGTGCCTACAGGGAGCTGAGCTCCGGGGACGCGTCCTGGGTGCCTGGCAGGCGGGTGCCGCCGCTCCCACGGCCGCACTCCTGCTTCCTCCGCCGGCAGAGGCGTGGGGACGAGAGCCGAGATCGTACTGCTCGTTGTGATGCAGCTGGCACTCCGCCCTACCTGAGAAAAGAGGAATGAATGATTTGATTCTTTTTAGCCCTAAAAGAGGAGATAATTTTAGTTCTTAGTGGAAGTGTTATTTTTTTCAATACAAAATGGTACACTTTCATTCTGTGAAGTGCTGTAGAAATTAATGTAAATTTATAGCTGGCAAACGCTTAAGACTTGGGTAAGTATTATATAAGATTCCCCTGCTAATCAGTGCTACGGAACTGTCGTGCTGGTCGTGTCAATGTGCCACTGTTCCCACGTTGCGTTGCTAGCGACGGCGCAGGGGAGCAGGGACCTGATCCACCCGCGCCTTCAGTCGAGTGCCTTGTTTGAAGTCATTCTTGGGAAGCGGAAGGAGGAAAACTGCTGAGCTTTCCAGATTGGAGACAGTTAAGGACGTGGGACAGTGGCAGAAACTGTTTATAGCCTCAAAAGCATAAAATCTCCTTTCCCACAAGGCAGGAAGATATGGTCTAGTTTGCATTTCGCTTCATTACGTACGCTACCTGACACAGGTTCTGGCTGGAGAAACACTGCAGTGAGCTTGGGCTTAGAGAGGGTGTCGAAGTTGCCTGGTTTTGAGGAGATGGTAGGTGCAAAATGCTCACAGTCTCTGGCTGACAACAGATCCTCACCTCTTAATTTTCACAATGCAGAAATAACATGACTTGAGGACGTTTCTACTGCTTTGTGTCTGATTGTACTTAGTCTGACTCCAGCTGTGCTCTGCCAGAAATTAAATCCTTAGGAATTCTCCTGTATTTCGATATTTCTTTTTTTTTTTTTTAGGGTTTTTTTTGAACTGTTTTTATTAAGTCAGAAATCAAATGCTAGTGGATCTTTGTAATTCATTGAAAAAAGCCTGAAGCCTTATTTTGAAATTACTTATTTTTTTTCATAAGCATACTGGTAACAGGCAGGGTACAGAATGTTAGGCATGAGGAAATAGAAAGAACGCATGAAATACTGCACTGGAGAGGAACCTTCCTTTTTTCTCCATTAAAACAATCCCTGGTACCCGTCTGCGGGCAGGCAATGTTCTTAATGTGACCGCTGCAAATGCCTCGAAGCCAGAGCATCTGCGAGTGCTGCCGCGTGCCTCTGCCCTGCTCCGCACAGGGAATCGTCTGCCCCGCGCTCGACCGCAGCCACTGGTAGGCTGAGCTTAAGTTTTTTATACCTGCTTTAAAGGGAAGCTTAACTCTCTTCCAAGTCAAGTTGATTTGCTGATCTTTAAGCTTCTGTTTGAGCTATTTGGAGCTGAGCCTTCTAGTCCTTCTGTCTCTTCGCCTGATTGTGACTTTGAGACGGGGAGCTCGGCGCCTCCCAGAACCAGATTTATCCTCAAATGCCCACTTCAAATTCTCTGGTTATTTTTGCAGCATATATGCTTCATGTTTTCTTCTGTCAAAATTTCATGCAAAAATTTAACTGATTGAGCAAAATACATAATTGGAGCTTGGCAAACAGATTGTACAAGGAAATTCGAAAAAATACAGTTAATTTTTTTTTTTTTGCCACAGTGATCACGCTTCCTGTTTTCTTCTAAAACAACAAAAAAAGTTGAGTATTAGAATAGGAATCAGGAGACTCTCCAAAGGGACTTCAGTCTTACGAAATTTTTCTTCCAATGTTGTCAACCAAAGGGATGTAAAACAAAGACTCTCGGCAGTTAATTAAAGCCCCAGTTCAGCCATTTTTGTCTGTGGTGTTGGTACACGCTACTGCTGGGGGCCCATAATGGAAACTTCATTAGCTCCTGGATGCTCTCCCCCCCACCCTCAGTACTGCCGCAGTATATGTATATATTGCCCAGGGTCCGGGCACTCTCTTAGCTAAAATACCGTTTGTTTGGGGTTTTTTTACCTTAAGGGTTTGCAGTCTTAATTTGGTAATACTAGACCAGAACTGGAAGAAAGTGGATAGAACTGGAGAAAGCTGAAGACAAGAACATTTCATTATTGAACAAGAATCCTTTCTTTGTGTTCAGTTTGCTAGCTGAATTTTTAAAATACCTCATGATTCTAAAGAATGACCTGTGATATATGAAGAGTTATGTGCTATTTATGTATTTTTGAGTGTAAATGTCCTAATTATAATGTGGACAGCTACTGTACAGCAGAGTATTTTATGCGCTGCAGCACAGAGACTATAAATAATGCTGTTCTGAGCTGCAAAATAAGAGATGAAAGAGCTGTAAAAAACTAGTGTTTGCAGAGCTGTAAAAAATCAGAAAGAAGTGGGAAAAATGACTGCATGATTGTATAATATTTCACCAGGAGAACAAATCTGAACTTAAATAATATCTTTATTTGTTTTGTCCCGTGCCCTCCCTGCAACCCTGTGTATCATCCAGCGTGGAGGCAGACACACTATTTGACAAGTAAAGTGGGGTGAGAGAGGTTAAGTGAGAGAATAAGCACAGTAGCAGCCTTTGAGTTTGTTAAAACAGATTGCTCATTCAGTCGCCTGACGCACGAGGGAAGTGCATTTCCATTTCACCCTGCGTGGAGAGGAGATGCATGACAGCTTCTCAGATGTCTTAAAAGATGCCAAACATTCAGCTGATTCCACAGTGAAACAATAGAAATGGCACTGCAGATACGTATGGACCGAGCTTCGGATTTGCCTGGACGTATAAACCAGGAGAACGTAGTTCAGCCTTTGCACCGTAAATTTCAGTGTAATTCTGTATTTCAGCACTGTGTTCAGAATCCAGTAACCTAAAGATGCAATCGGAGAAATTAATTGTCCGCTCATGATCTTGGTTTTTTCCACCTTCACAGAAAATGAAGGAGTATCTGGAAGGCAGGAACCTGATAACAAAGCTCCAAGCCAAACACGACCTTCTTCAGAAGACCCTGGGAGAAAGTGAGTCTGGGATCCGCTCATCACTGCTATTAGCCAGGCTATTGCACTTATTGAATTAGTCAGCTGAGTGTAACGGTCTTTGATTACTGATGCAAAGTGGGCATACTCATGTTTTATGAATTTATTTTTCTGATCTGCGTGATGGAGAAGCCAAATGACCTACCTGGCTGCTTGATTAATGGTGAACGGAAAATGCCTAATGAATCACTAATGTGCATCGCTTATTTGTTAAAATGAAGCATATGCCCACTCCTCCATCCCGTCCTCTCCCCATACAGGCACGTTCTGCTTCTCACTTAATCTGTATTGGGGTGAACCTTGTGATTTACAGTTTACCAATTAGTTGAGAAGTATTGCCTTGTTAGGCTGGTCAGAAGATTCATTTGCATGGTAGTTTAGCTGCTTCTCACCTCTGTGGGTTCAATCCAGACTAAGCTAATGTATGTGAGCATGGGCTTTTATTGGGAGAATAATAAACAAATTTCAGAGCATGTAAAATATGTCGCCCATCTAGAGGACATTAGTCAAAGGGCAGCAGCCAGAACTGAATATGCATTTGCTATTAGTGTCAGAACAAAGGAGGATTCTTTCCCTTCATGGTATGGGCAAATTCTGTTGGCCAAACATGCTTAAACTATGCAGTCAAGTTTCCATAGAAACCTGTCTGCCTCGTATTTGCAGAGGAGAAGGTTTTAACAGTCTAAATGTCAGGTCGAAAAATGGCTCAACTCGTTCCTGGGTTTATGTGCTGGAGCAGGGCTCGTGTTTTGATATGTAACTTAACTGGACTCCCCACAGTTTATGGTGTGCAAATCTTCTGAATGAAAACTTAAACAGCATGTGGTCCTTGAACTGCTTTGCTTTCAGTTTAAAAATGCGCTATAAAAATAAAATACTTATTGCCACAGTAATTAAGAGCTTCATGTTTATCAGACCCAAACCGCTAGAAGGTAAAGGAAGGATGTTGCCATCATTTTGAGCTTTATTGTTTAAAGTTCTCGTCTCTTCAGCTGTCTTGTAGAAAGGGTGGATGAAGCCAAAGATCTGTGTCCTTAGGGTATTTTTCTTCTGCCTCTAAATATCTCCAAATGACACCCATGCTGCCCCTGTGACTAATCACATTCTGGGATCATAGCTGACCTCTGCATACCGAGACCTATTTCCTCTTAACCTGCCTGCCCCTTGAACCCATCTCAAGCTGTGGTGGGGGGGAAGGAAGAGGAAATTAAATACGATTTCTGTATTGCTATGTAGATTTAAAGGCTGCTTCTGTTTTCTTGTGGTTGCTTTGCAAACCAGAGCTTTCTCAGTCACTCTGTGAAGGGACCCAGTGTGTGTCAGGGTGAGCTCCAGCAGCTTCTGAAAAAAAATCACTTCTGTCATCTGTGAGATCAAAAGGAGCTAAGAAAGGGAGGTACATCTCGTCTCCAAAACCACATTAGCAGGTTAATGGTACAAACTGGGGACCGTGCCTAGACTTATCCATAAAATGTCACTTAATTGGGAAACGGGCAAATAAAATTCCTTTCACAAGTCCCCGGAGCATGGTTGGAAGCTTTACTGAAAAATGTGCATACAGCTGCGTGTCTTCAGTCCCTGGAAAATACATGGGTTTTTTTAAGATTTTTATTCTTCTTTGCCCCATCCTCAGGTGACATTTATTAGCCCTTTTGCAAATTACCTTAATCTAAAGATTACAAGTTCAGTAATAAAAATAGCAGCAAGTCTTCCTATCTACAAGTAATTATGTCCCTGCCTACTGTACACATTTGTCACCCTAATGTAGGAGCCCCTTGATGTTGCTGCAGCCATGTAATTTATATATATGAATATTCTATGATGGAAATGGGACAGATGGCTGGAAATTCTGCTTCAGAATAACATTTTCATGTAAATTATGCGCTGTTTTGGCTTTACATGGGGAGAGGAAAGTGGCTATCGAGACGTGTTCAACTAATTGTCAGCCATCAGCAATTAGTCGTTTCCCTCGTTCATTCTTCCGTCTCCCCAGGAGCAGGAAGACATCGTAGGGAAGGTGGATTTTCAGCTGTTGTAAATCAGTATGGTTTCACTGATGATGATCTGTACCAGCAAAAGATCTGGCCTGTACAATTCCCAAAGGCACACACTAGTTTTCTGTCTCTCTTACTCCTTGTTGTGCTATTTTAAAACGATGCCTGCATTAGCAGTAGTCGTTAGCTTGGCCGCTCCTTGCAAACTCAGTGCAAGTTAATGCAACGTTTTTATAAATATGTTTGTGGAAAATATCATAAAACGTCTGTCTCCCAAAATAGCTTAATGCCAGCACGTTCAGTCTGTGGGCTAACAAATCCGTGAATGTTTTCAATCTTACTAAGTGGCTTTATAAATCTCTCGCCCCACCAATTCTCCTGGGAAGGGGGAGGGAGGGAGAGGTTGACAGACCCAGTTTTTTGGCAGCGGAAGTCAACAATTAGAATGCACAGGGAACTAATTTTCAAAAACAATACTTTCCAAAGAAAGTCCTCAGGCGGCCTGAGCCGTTTGCTGCGTTTCCTGCTCGGCCGCGGCAGAGCTGTGCCGCAGGGATGGGCTTCGGTGGTCTCCCCAGCAGCGCTCCTGGGGAAGGCAGCCCCTCTCCGCCCTCCCAGAGCTGCCCCCTCCCTCTCCGATGGTTTCTCCCCTCCATCTGCTTCCAAAACTGGCTTTGCAAACCTGTTGAAGGTACTTTCCCATTCCTCTCTCCTAATGCCGTATGTCTTTGTCGTCTTAACAGGTCAACGGACTGACTGCTCCCTTGCCAGGTAGGTGTGGCTCAGGAGATTATTTTTTAAGGAAAAATCTGATGCAAACTGGTCACTGCCATTCTAGATCGGTTACCAGCCCAGGATATGTATCTGTTAGAAAAAGATACTCATTTAGCTAATACATGAAGCAAATTCCCACTAGCGAATATGGCTTTAAGTGCCGTCGCTATTACCTGCGTTAGTGCAAGGTAGTGGCACAGCTTATACCTGCGTTTCGTAACCTCTGGTCAGCTGAGTGATGAATATTTCTCTCCGTGCAGTGCCTGCCTAAACACCTCTCCTTGCTCGTCGCTGCCCTGTGCTGCCGCCGCAGTTGTGACCATACACCTGCTGGCAGGGCTGCCTGTTGCAACAGCTTGGGAAGCTGACTGGGCTTAAAAATAACCAAAGGGGGGAAAAAAAAAAAAAAAAAATTGGTGGAGGTCTTGTGCTTTTCCTTGCCCCAGTGTGTTTGATCCAGACCAGGAAGAGGATGGGCTGGTGTGAGAAACTGTTTAATTTGGCACAGGCACTGTCCCAGCTGAAACCAGGACACGCTGTCACCCAGAGAAGTATTGTTCGAACTAAGATTCTTCTAAACGCATTTGTATTTCTGTAAGGGAGACGGGCCCGTGACTCTGCAGGGTTTATCCACTTGGTTGGTGTATGGGGCTGAGTAACGTAAATCGGAAAACTCTTTATCCTGTTGATGGTCTCCGCTCTGCCGTGGAAGCGGATTGCAGCAGTACAGAGGTCATGGAGAATGAGCTTTTCATTTATAATTAGGACCAATCACAGAACCATAACTAAGCTTCTCCTGATGGAGTTTTTATAAAACATAACAAATCTCCATCTCCAGATTGATGGATTCAAGGAGCTCCGCTGGGCACGAGGAGCTGGAGTAGGGGCTGTGCATCATCCTGCCTTGTTAACAAAAGGAAGGTGATTACTACCGGTCTGGAGTCATTACTACTTTTCACATTCCTTACAGCAAAGCAAAGCTGACAGGTCCTAATTAGAGCCTGACGTCTATAATAATAAAATATTATTCATCATGAAACAATTTTAAATATCAAAGAATCATTACTGCTAATAGTTTAAAATAGACCTTATTGTCTGTGACAGCCCATGGAATTTGATTGCCTTTTTTTTTTATGCAGTGTTTTTGATTTTTATAAAAGGAATTTCCCCTGAATTAGCACATTGTACAGTCTTTTAAAAAATCACAGTTCTAATCACCTTATTTATAATTCAGCAGCCGTCTGCCCTAGCAGGGAATTGGCTTGACTGATACATTAGGGCCTCTCTACTGTTATCCCTCGCGCTTCATTTTTACAAGAAACTGTAGGAATTTTAAACCCCAGTAATAAATTTTGAGGGGAAAAATTCTGGCAAAGGAAGGCTTTTTTTCCTCTCTTCCTACAATTAATGTCTGCCACCATAGAGAAATGAGACACCATCATGGTTTGTACTGAAAAGGCCTAGCCTGGCTAGTGTGTGCTGCTGTTCGATGGGGTTTGTTTTACTTGTTTTTTTGAAGTCTTATAAGAAACTGTAATAAAGGCTCCACAATGGCTGCTGTTAACAGCACAGGAGGAACCAGCATGCTCCCACCTGCTTCTCCCCTCTGTAGAGTGGCTCTTTCAGAGAGCAGCTATGTGTAATTTATAACAAACTTCATCTTGAACAAGGAGCCCTATATAATAGATTTCCATATGGTTGCAATTAAAATGTCAGGGGTAATCTTTTGTCAAAGCAGTGGGCTCCCTTGTGTCTATTTCAGTCTTTTAGTGCTTTAAAGTCACTTAAAATCTTCCTGAAGTTCCATAAATTGAATGAGACTGAAGTCATTATGATTGACTTGTGTATCTGGCTCCTTCCCTTCTCCAAAATACACGTGGTTTGGAATACCGAACGAAAGAGAGCGATGATAGCAGAGGATTATCTTGACTTTTCTGTTCTGTTTTTCCCTCCTGCACCAATGGGCGGTTCTGATCTCATCAGCAGCAGGCGCAGCTCTACCGTAAGGAAGCAGGTAATAAACATTCCTTAAGTAGTGAAACAGGGATAGGAGTGTGTTTGTGTAGAGGATAGATGGAGAACAGGGAAGTGATTTTTATCCTTCCCTCCTTCTCTTACATCGACCTTTTCAGTCTTGTTTCAGTGGAACTGGTATCTGCTCATTCAGTAACTGAAACCAATAAAACACAGATCCACAGCTTTGATCTATTTTCTTTGGCAAAATTTAGAAATAATTTTACCCTGTTTTGACAGACCTGGAACCAAAAATGTCAAATAAGCCTTGAGCTATCTGGACAGTCACAGTTTGTGGGTTTCATGCTGTTTTTTCTTTGTCCCCTTTCCCTTTTTTTTTCCGCTGGTACCCCTCTGCAATGCTGTTAAACCAGTAACTGCTCACTTGTTGTGCCTTCTTGTAATAAAGACTTACAACCACAATGTTTTGTTTTCCTGGCTGTGGTGGATAATCTGTTACTTTTTAGTACGTGATGAGCTAAAATACGTTTCTTTTGAGATAGGGAAAAACCACAATCTTTCTTGTTGATACTGTAAAGACAAAATTCGGCTTGGAATTTCATTTCATATAGTCTGTCTTGAGGTGCTGCTTTATAGTTTTTAGGGTCCCTGTATATTGGAAATGAAGTAAGAGAGCAGGTTGTGTTTTCGGTGTGCGGAGTCGAACCTTTTCCTTTTCCTGAGCTTAATTGTTGTTCCTTTATTTATGCACTAAAAATGGTCTCTTCCTATGCTGCAAATGAAGTATATGTGTCAATTGCCATTTCACAAGTAGTTTTTGAGGTCTCGGAGCATATTCTGACCCCAGTAGAGCTGACAGACCATTCTCTGATTTGGAGACCTAAATTAAAAACTAATCTGTTTTCAAACACTGAATCCACAGCTCACAGTAACCTACAGGAAATCGCTTGCATGTGGTTTTAACGGGGTTTTTTGATTGTGACCCAACAGTTCAAAACATAACTGCTCTGAGAGTTTTAATCTCGGCTGGGGACCCTGAATATGTGCTTCTCTGTGGGTTCCTCCTGTCAAACTCCAAAATAAGTCTGCGGGGTTATAATGCTGTTTGGATGATTATTAATAAAGCGTGTCCTCAGGGGTTGGTTGAACAGCGGACTGGCTTCTGAGGTACTCTTAATTGCTTAGTGGTGTTCTGTGCAGCATACAGAAAACTAGTTCTAATTGGCTATGGCTAATTAGTAGAGAAATTATTAACTGTCACTATATGACCAAGCTCTGTGACATTTCAGTAAAACAAAAAAAACATTAAACCTGAACAAGTTAGGAAAAAGGTTGAACTTTTTTTGTTTAAATACGTATATTTGAGCAGAGGACTGTCATCCCTTTGAACTGACTGAAATGTGATATTGTGCCATCCTAACAAGTGAGCATGGTGAGATAAATTAGAGGCATTGCTGTCCAAAACTATGGTAGAAGAGGCTATACATAAGCAGAAACTCGGAAGTTTTAATCACATGGTAATTTTAATCACGGGCATCTGACCTTTAGTGAACTGCAGCACTTTGGTTGCTTAGTTGCCATTCCCCAAAACGGGAGGAATAACTGCGAACATTGCAGAAATTCAGTTGTGTGAAAACTAATCTGTGATCCTGTGAAGCAGAGACTAGGGAAGTGTAAAGGCTTGTTTCCATACTGAAAGTCTCAATTAACGTTTAAGCTGGAAATGAGCTTTTTTCCCACGAGCAGGTACCTGTATGGTGCACCTTACTTAGTGGGCTGTGACCGTAGGGCACTGATGAGCCATTTTAAATGTTTGTGACAAAATAGCAGGAGTTTGATGCAATCCCGAAATTGCTGATATTTGAGATGTTTGGTAATCAGTCCAGAAACTAAACACATCTGGAACTGCAAGGAACCAGAATATGACAGATGAGAGGATAAATTTGCTTTCCATTCTCCCCCTGCCCCACGCCGCCTTCCGCCCCTTATCATCATTCTGCGTTCTGATTGCTGCTCTTGTTTAAATTTCTCTTTGTACAGGATTCCTCACAAGCCATTCCCCTGGTCGTGGAGAGCTGCATACGATTCATTAGCAGACATGGTGAGTTTATGGACGAAAGGTATCCTGTAATATTTCTGTGAAATGAACAGCGATGTAGAAGCCTTCTGGAAAACGTTCAGAGTAGCGTGGGACATGGAATCCTAGAGGCTGCAATATAAAGAAACTATCACTGACTTTTTGGCTATATTGGGGGGTGTGTGTGATCAATTTTCCAAACGGTTATGGCAAATCCATGACCTTGCAAATGTTACTCTTCCAACGATATTCCTTTGTTTCATGTAAAATAAGGTTCCCATCCTTAGATACCACTCCTGCTTCACCTCCACTCACCTTGCTTTGAGCCCTGAAACATGGCCTTCAATGATGATCACACTGTTCCTAAAGGAGGAGGAATACTCTAGGTATTTGAATGTAGGAGGTCAAGTAGTGAATTAATTGCTCACTTATTGCCTCAGTGAGATGATTTATACCTGTTTCAAAGGTTAACTTCACAGCCTTGAATGCTGTAAAATATTTTATACATTTATTGTCATTTCTTTTCCTTTTTAATGGATACCGTTTGTTAGTAGCATGTGAAACAGCTGTCAGTTAATATATGTAGAAAGAGGTTGACTTCATCTTCATTAACTATGACCAGAGCCAGATAGTAGGTCCCATTTCATATTCCTTGATTAATTAGCATTTTAGAAACTATGATCTAGAGTCCCATTCTCATCATTACTTGGAAGAACCAAGTGCTATAATCCTTCATTAAGGCCATACTTGGACATTTGCTGGAAAAATCATTGAAACCACATTGCAATGTGAATCAAATCGGGGCCAGCAGGAGATTTTATTTTTTAGACTCATATTCCTGAGTTAGAATAGATCCTCAGCAGAAGGATTTTCCAACAGGTTCAGCTGATTTTTGCTCTTAATGTCAGATCATTGCCTTATAGGTAATGTACAGGTTTTTTACAGTTTGTAATTAGAAGGAATGTGCTTTTATACAAGAAATCCATTTTAGGCAGAAGAAATGATAAAACTGCCTGCCTGATGCACTTACATTGCAGGAATGAATTTTGTTGGAGGTAGCCTGACATTTCTAAATGTTTTGCTGCCTAGGTGTGGGATGAGTGTCATTTTCTTTCGTGCTTCTCTGCACTTGGGATTGTTTCTTTTCACTGTTACAGCAATGTGTCACAGCTACCAGATACAGCCACATACTGCAAAGGTTTCGTTGCGTTGTGATACAAACAGTTGCAGAATTTGGGAGGAAGAGGCCACAGATGCATTCAAGAGAGCTTATTAATTTGCAGCCATTATTATAAATGAAGCAAAGATGCTGCGACATTCCCTGTTTCAGAAAGTGTGCAGTTAAAAGGCTTGAATGAATGGGAGTTGATTTCCCTACGTGAAGCATATACTTTGTTCATTAGTTGATCTGTAACGGTTGTTGCTCATCTTACAATGTACCAACGAAATTGTTGTGATGGTAGTATATTGGAACATCTCGCCTACTTGATAATTGGTTTTAATGACATTGCTAATGGTTACTTTTTAGCAAGAATGTCTTAAAGACTATCCTAAAACCCTCGATAGCAGGTCGTGCTGGGGTAATTAAATGCTTCCATTTCAATTGGCCGATTTGCTCTGTGCCTTTGTGGTATTGCTCTTGCAAAATAAACTGTTTCATTGTGTAGTTAGTTGTATTTTACTTCTGGCTGATGTACCATTAGTTTATGACTTTGGGTTGTAAAATCCTTTGGGGATCCTTCAGGGTAAAAGATAACATGCATGGCTGTTATAACCCAGTTATTCTGTCAGTTTACGAAGAAGGGTTAATATTTTTTCTTGGTCGTACTGAGTTCTGTTTTTACGTATTCTGTATGTGCCTGGACATATAAGGGAAAGATGGCTTTAAAACCGGCATACTTTCGCCTGTGTTCCTTATGTTTCCTTTCTCATATATGCTGTAGCTGATGAAGGTGCCAGCCTATCTTATCTTACTGTTATCAACATCTCTTACTGTCTTACAGGTTTGCAGCATGAAGGGATATTCAGGGTGTCTGGGTCACAAGTTGAAGTAAATGACATAAAAAATGCATTTGAGAGAGGTAAGGAGGATCTCGGAAATTATTGCCAAATGTATTAATTTGTTTAAATGTTCTGAAAAGGCATGTTTTGAATGCAGCTTGCTATACTGGGCCTTTGATTTTTGTGTTTCCTAAGCCTCGCCCAGACACTTTTCTAGTGCTCATTAACCTTGAATACTCAGTTGTTTGGCATTATGCTTTATATCTTGTAGAGTGTCTGTATAATAAATATTCTGAATTCAATCTTCTCTCATGTCTGATAGTTTATTGATTACTTGTAACACTAAAGAGTAAAGAGAATTTCATTATTAGGTGTAACTGCATTTTCCTACCCTCTCCCCCCAGCTCTGTGTGAATAGGCTGGCTGCTAGAGGATGAAATCCTGTGTTTTCCCATGTTTTTGGGGCACAGCTTGCCCACATTTATTCTAAATATCCGCACGTGAGAGTAAATTTCAAGACAGTCTTAACTTGACGTAGCTTTTAATAGATTTGAATTTCTGTGTGAAGAACCATTCCATACAAAGGCAAAGAACTGCTGGGAGCCTCCTGACTCATCAGCTTCTCGCTGGGCTCTTCTCCCTAGCAGAGCAGGTTCAGAAGAGCTTGCTCTTCGGGCAGTCCTTGCAACCCATCTCCCCAGTCTTGTTTGGGTCACTGGAAACAATAGGGCTTGTGTTAATTCCCTGAATACATCACTCTGAAAGAATATGGTTAGTGTGTTTCTATGCTTGCTGTTGGAAGAGATGAGCAGTAATTACTTAGGCACAGCAAGTTCATTTGCTTTTGGGAAGAAAGGAGTTTCATAGACAGCGTGTGTGAAACACGGCATCTAATTTCACCTGTCTTCACCTCCATCTACCTGAGAATTAAAATCCTGAAGCATAGAGGAAGCAGAAATGTGTATCACAGGCTGCGGGTAAAGGCTTGATATCAGAATGAAAGACCTCTTTTTTTAAATAAAGGAAATACCAGTCATCTTGGGAAAATAGCCAGTTGTTCCAGCATTAACATGCAGAAATGAAAAGGTGATTTATTTTTTTTCCTTCATCTCGCTTGTCTCTGTAAAGCATATGATATACAGAACTGACAAAGTTAACAATAGTGTCTCTGCAGTTTATTACTTCATCCAGAACCCTCGGTGGCAGTTAATATCAAGGATAATGCTCCGGTTTGTAGTGGCCCATTTATTATCCTGTGTGTTATTAAGATAATAGGCAAGCTTTGGTAATTTCAGTCACATAATGGATATATATAGCTTCAATTTGAGGATTGCCCCATCATTAAATCTCATTATATCCGATAGGGAGTTTTCCCTAGGGAACAACTCCGTAAGTGGGCATGTTTTCTTTTGTAATACAGACAAACTGTGGCATATCTGCAGTGACCAATTATCTGTCCCAGAAAGACCCCCGGCCCTGCCGAGTCAACGTAAGATGTCTGCATCCTGCTGAGCCAAGTGCACGATGCTCAATGGCCTCTTGCGTGTGCACTCAATCCACCTTAGCCTCAGTTGTGAGTTTGCATAAAGACCCACTCCTGCACTCATGTAATGTTCACCTCCGTGGTGGATCTGCGAAGTTCACACCCGACCAAAATATGTGGAGCACAGAGCCTGGAAGCATTGCTACCGCTCTAGGAGCAACACCAGCCTCCGTGGGCGTGAGCCAGGCGCGCCAGTGCCAGGCTGTACTCCGCCGGCTGCAAGGCTGTCCCAGGCTGTCCCAGGTCTCCTGGCATTGCTGTCAGAGGCTTCCCTTCTCGACTGCGATGCACAGGAGAGATCTCTCTCTACACGCTGGTTGTAGTGCAGCTGGAGTAGGTGGGATTAACTCTGTGCTGCATAAATCCTTTTCTCCAGCTGAGGTGCATCCTTCCAGTCTGATGCATTTCTCCAGTATTCTGATTTTTCTTGCCTGTTTTTCTTTGTTTGTCATGAAGGGGAAGATCCATTGGCTGGGGACCAGAATGACCATGACATGGATTCAATAGCAGGAGTTCTGAAGCTCTATTTTCGAGGGTTGGAGCACCCTCTCTTCCCCAAGGATATATTTCATGATCTGATTGCCTGTGTCAGTAAGTATATGAAGATCTCAAAAGTTAATAGAATTAATTTTTCCAATCTCATCTTCCACTTCCCTCTTTTCCTCTCCCCCTTGTTTCCTGGCTCCGAAATAATCTTTTTATGGTTACTTTGGTTGGGTTTGTGTTGCATGGTATCCTCGTCTATTAGCCAGAGTCTGGGCCTTTACCTGGTTACAGCCATCCTTATTCTGATAGCAGGTTTTTTATGAATGAGCAAGGTGATAAAAATGAATAGATTTTTAAGGACCGTATCATGGATTTTTCTGAGATAGTGCTTCGTGGCAGGATTCTTTTAAAACAAAATAAAACAAAAACCTCCACTTCTAAAAAATAATCGGTAAGACCTCTGATCAGAAGGTGTTGGAAATGCTTTCTCAGAAGAAGGGATCTCCAGCTGGGTTTCCTGCCCTGCCTGCTTTCCCTGGCATTGATAGGTACACGCTGCCTGTACGCACTCTTTAGCTGGCGAGGTAGCAGTCGTGTGCCTTTTAGCTTGATAACCACGAGGGACCCTCTGTTGACTCCTGATGAAGAATATCAATCATGAGGGCAGTCACAGTCAAGTTGTTAACATTTTTGATGGTTTCTAAAGGTGGTTCTGGTAGGCAGAGGGTTGTTTGTGTTTTTTGTGTGTGAGCAACCTCATTTGAAATGGCCTAACTATTGCCATGTCCTTCAGAGTTGAAGAATGATCCTATTGTCCAAGTAGCGAAATGGTCTTTGCGGTGGCAGCCTTTGAAGTAAAGCAGAAGATAACTGCTTCTAAAATGGCTCATGGTTTTCTTCTCCTGATAAATGCATTTACAGAGTTGAATTAACATTATATGAAAAGAAAAATCTGCTTCCAAATAAGTTCTCCCTTCTGAGATGATTTATGCTGCCCACTTATTTCTCAGTAGGCTGCTGCACACAGAGCTTTTTGCCTCAACGTTTAGCTATGTTAATTTTCCTTTGAGTGTTACATAATTTCTTTTTTAAACACCCACCTTTCTAAGTGAACTTGAATGAGCTATTGTGCCAGAGAACTATCGAAGCAGATGACATCCAGTGCTCCCACGCTAGGAAGGAACTTGCAGTGAAGTTTCATATGTTCTGGGACCTTCATTGACAAAGGCTTCGCCAGCAGGTTCTGCAGCCTTTGCGTTCCCATGCCGGAAGATCTGGGATACGGGCAGACCAACCCTTCCTGCTGCTGCTGCCCTTTTTAGTAGTTTGCACAGGAACCACCACAGTATGCCGCTTGCATTTAGCAAGGTGTGGGTATGGTGATCTGATGACTCTGGTGCTCTTTCTTCCTTTCAGCAATGGACAATTTACAAGAGAGAGCGCTCCACATCCGGAAGGTGCTTCTGAACCTGCCGAAGACCACTCTGATTGTAATGAGATACCTCTTTGCATTCCTCAATCAGTGAGTATCCTTGAGAGCACCATGGCCCTGCCGCAGTACTCGGTGTAAACGTGATAAGTGGCGGAACCAGTCTTAACACTGCTGTGTGTGACCTGAGCACCAGTTTAGGGTGTAGACGCCGCAGTAGTTTGCTATCGCATCTGCCTTGCTGGGCTTTTCAGCCTTGGTGAAACTCATCCTGATGATACTAATGCAATCTCAAAGGAGTTCTGGAAATGAAAGTGAATAATGTGCTGGTAATCCAAGCAAAAAGTAATATGAAAGAGTCGGAAACTGGGTCCCACACCAGCAAGGAGCAGTATGTGCTAACTAGTGGGAGCAGCGGAGAGTGAGTGTATGTTTTTAAAACAGTCCACTGCATCTGGCTGGTTCATTGGATAGCTTGGCAGCAAGGAGTCAGTAGCTTCCTCCAGTAATTTGGTCATGACATCTGAGGTAGCATAAAGGAAAAACGTCCTAACCAAAAGGCTATGTGCACATTGTCAGAGCCCTTTGAATACTACTTAGGTGAAAGAGAAAAATAACTGTAAGACAATATTTTGACGTAACAGATACCTGAGGCTTACTATCTGCTTTTGTAAAGCTCCAGTTCATCAACTACTTTTGATGAACGTCTTATTCCTTACGTTAAAATGAGGAAATGTCAGGGTTTGAGTTTTTTCTACAAGATTTGTATTAAAATGGAGCGGGACATTTACTAAACCTATCCATATATTCAAGTGGTTGTTTCTCTTTGGAAAGCAGGGGGTTTGTTTTACAGACATCACTCCTGGAGTCACAGAAACGTGTGACTTTCCAGTCTCAGTAGCTTTTAATTATTCCAAGTAGTGATCTAGAAAACAGAGAGTTTCAAGGGGAGTCGTATTGAAACTTAGTTTTCTGTTCAATCTTTAAGTGGTATGTGAAAGGCTTAAATTGTAGGTTTGGGACAAAATTTAGTGAGATAAAAAATGTGTTTTTAAAAACCAGCACTATAGAAACTATAAGATTCAGATTTGCTGGGAAATCCTGAAGAAGAATCCCAAAAAAGGTCCACTTGAGAAGCTCCTGGGCTTTGGAGAAAGGATGTAACCCTCCGCATACTTGATCACACGCACTTAGGCAAAGGGCACCCGATAGAACTCTCTGTCCTGGTTTCAGCTATATTGAGTGTTGGGCTGCAAGGGGGCTATGAACAACAATAATACCGAAGAATTAAAGATGAAGATTAAAGAGCAATGTCCTCCCCTTGTGAAGTCAGCACCCAGTACCTTTCACACAGTCTTGAGCTTTCAAACTCCCTTCGGGGTTTCTATTTCATTTCTCTGTAAATGGCATCAGTATCTCTTTTTACACGGACCCAGAACATTCATGTCCCAGCCGATCAGCTTTAAACAGCAGAAAGCCCAAAGCAAAACTTCCCAGCTCAGCTCTGTGTTCTCCAGCAGATGATGATAATGATAATGTTGTTTTCAGCCGTTAACCCTCCTCCCCATTTCTGTCTTTTGCAGTTTATCTCAGTTCAGTGAAGAGAACATGATGGATCCCTACAATTTAGCCATCTGCTTTGGGCCAACATTGATGTCTGTGCCTGAAGGTCATGATCAAGTCTCTTGCCAAGCTCATGTCAATGAATTGATCAAAACTATCATCATCCAACATGAGAACATCTTCCCAGGACCAAGGGAGCTGGAGGGTCCAGTCTATAGCAGAGGTGGAAACACCGAGGATTACTGGTATGATAGATACCACTGAGGAGAAAATGAATGGGTGGATATTTATTTATGGATTAGGATGCTACAGTCATGCGTTCCGCTTTGCCTAATTCTGGATTCGAGCATCTGACCCAGCCTAAGAAAAAATCTGTTTCATGGAACAGAAGATGGCTCTGGTGTCTTTGGAGAGTCGTCAACTTAAAAGAAATAAGCTGGTAGAAAGTAGCTATTCAGTTGTTGAACCCAACTCGCTTATCTTGAAGGGCAAGGTGGTGCAGGGATTTTCCTGGATGTTCTGGATTTTCTGCCAAAATCAATCTCTTTTTTTTATCTTTTATTTCTTTTTTTCCCTCCTGCTTTGGCCTTTTTTTTCCCCTTGTCTTGAGTGCCTTTGCTTCAGACACAGGGGTCACTTGCGACTGAACCTAGAAAGCTGTGGCATGGTTTAATTTTCAGGGCAGCACTGATGGTGGGGGAGGGAAAAGGGAGGAATGCAAAATCACCGTTTCCATCCAGCTTAAAGCTCAAGAGGCCTGGCCGTGTGTTCAGTCTGAAAGCCACATCTGGAAACAATTCAGCCAGAGCGGCTCCTGTCATCTGGGGTGGAAGGTTGGGGAGTGGGGGAAGGAAAGGAGGTGTTTTCTTTCCTACTGGCCAAGCTGATCTCTCCCTCTGAAAATGAGGAATGTTAAATTGTGTCCTGCTTCTCCCCCCCTTCCTTCCCTCCTCCAGTGTCCCAGGAATGCAAATGATTATTTTCACATACTAAAATAAATACATTTAAAAAATGAAGTCGCTCTGGTGACAGAGCTAGCCTTGTTTGCCCAACTTGTTTCAGAGTAGCTTTAACTGTCAACTCATTCCACGTACATTCAGTGAGGAGAGGCTCCTCTATACTAACTGCTGTATGCAGAAGACTTGCCAGAGCCTCTTTTGGAAATTCTGTTAGTTTTACCCTGCACTCTGATGTTTTTAGCTGATGTTATATGTGAAAGAACTGTAGAGAGAAAAAAATTGAGGAATCTTTATGACCTTCAAGAAACACATTAACTTCAACAAGAGATTTTGTCCCTTAAGGTGAAGGGAATAAAAACGTGAACCGTTCAGCACACTCTGTAGTATGGGTGATACTTCACGCGAGTACGTAGGAAGCAAACCGTCCTGGAAGGCAGTGTCAATTTTCTAAAGGAATTTGGTTTTTCTTTGTTGCCCTTCCTAACCACCCTGACCTGAGACCCTATTAAGCAGAGGAGGGTAGAAGCAAGCAAGGGAGACTGCTTAAAGTCAAGAAGAAGCATCTGGTTCCCATTCAAGCCTTCTCATAGCCCTGGTATTTAGATAGTTGCTAGTTATTGCCCATAGGGCTCCTGGCCGCAGAGCGTGCAAGCGGCGGAGTGAATCCTTGTAGTTCAGCTGGTTCATCAGGGAATGGAGCCTGCTACGCTTGCGATCTCCCGGTGCCACTTCACTGGGCTGAGTCGTCTTTGTGCCGGGGAAGTCACAGGCGGTGCTTTGGCGTGGAGGCTGCCCGGGCTCGGCGCCACGGCTCGTGTGCTCTGCGCCTCCGTGCCTGCGCGCTCGCTGC